ATCAAAAAGACTTCCCTTGGGCCGTTCGACATTGTCAAATGGGTTGCGGTCTCGTTTTCCACCGCCAGAGGCGACTAGTGTCAAACGGATAGGCTGCCCTTTAGCATTTGCGCCATCGAATTCCGAGATCGCCGTCCTCGCGTCGTTCGCACGGTTGTAGGTAACGTAGGCAACACCTTCGGAGCGCCCAGCCCGGTCATAGACGAGAGATAGATTTGAGATAGGTCCGATCCGAGTAAACAGATCCTAAAAAGAGAGCTCATCAGCTAACTGATCAAGCGCCACATGTCATATGCTCCTTTGATCGGCGCTTACCTCCAGATCGCTCTCCGTAATGTCGTAGTGAAGGTTCTCAACGCGAATCTTTGCTCCGGTGGACGCGCTGCGTCAGGAGTTAGTCACAGCCACAAAGGGCTTCAGCAGTAAAATTCAAGCCAGACATACCGATCGGGCGAAGGGGAGTAACGGTCACCGCGTGGACGTCGGGAACCACGAGCAGGGCGGGCTGAAAGAAATCTGTGTTAAAACCAAAGAGGAACGCAAATCCCCCGTGACAATCGCCACGAAGCCAGGTTTAAAACGCACTGTCTCTGTCGTCGTCATATCTGTCGTGGACCCAATCACTGTGAATGTAACCCTATCAGTAAACGCAGATTCCATATTGTGATTTGTGCGGGGACAATTACAGATCTAAATCGACTCGCTCTTCTCTATAGGACTGTTGTGACGCAAAAAGAGAGACAAGGTCAGCTGGATATCAAAATATGCAGTCTGGAAACGGCTCCATCAATCTGCGGCTTCTTTCGCGTGCCTTGAGGCCGTGTAAGACAGGACGACAAGACCAACGACGGCATCTGTACTGATCATGTTGCGATAGGGAGGTTCGAAAGGAGAAGAGGAGGGAGGACCTAGAAGCTCGAAAAGTAGGAGGTTAGCACAGCCGACCTGGGAGAGTGATGGTTTGTTTTGTCAGACGATATATGGACGGACCTTTTTCACGCCATCACGGCGACGACCTTGAGCTTGAGGAGGACGGCGACCTCTATTCTGTTTCTGCTATACAATTTTTCATGTTAATAAACAAAGTGACACTTCTTCGGTGAGTGCAAGCTGAAAAAAGGTACTGGAGGCCTTACAGGGCGTTCGGCAATGATCTCATCGAGACTACGGTCCATCTTGGACACGGCGGACGATCAGGCTATAAAGAGCTAGACGATAGAGGTTGGATAATCTGCTAGAAGCAATATGTGAAAAATGTCTGTCAATTGGTTCTGATGAAAGATTGTTGGTTGCTGTATCAGACGGTTAAGCTGCGACCCAGACCAGGAATAAGCCTAGGTCATGTGATTCTAAGGAGTATACTACGCACAAAGTTGAGATCTCTACAGCATGGATGAGATCCACCAATAACCCAAGTCAAGGGTGAATTGAGGGATTGTAAGCCTTAAATACTAAGAGAAGAAAGGAAAAAACCAGACGATTATTATATTTGAAGTTCAGTGCGAACTCATTACGCTGATCCTACTTCTGTGGTAGCACCGCTTTTCAATGTTTCAGTCGACGTACCACCAGATGCTTTATCGAACTTGCAATTTGATCCAAGCTTGTTAACCGTCAGAAGGAGAGCACCTAGCAGAAGTTTCTACTCATCAACTACTCTACTTTGACTTGAATGGTGGTATACACGGCTGGAATCGCGAACATCTCAAACAAGACGTGAAACAGCGATGCACGGACGAAGAATAATAATAATCATGCAAGACAAGAAATTAGAAACAGACAAAATCAATGCTTCAAGTCCTGTATGCATGGCTGAGACTGTCACTCAGCGAAAGACCAAGACCCCTTTTCGCTCCGCCAAACTCCAGTAACAACCCACGAGGAAAAACCAAGTAAAAGGTATTGAAGGCAAAAGTAAAGGCAATCTGAAACGGAAATCGCATGTATCCAATTAGTGGTCGCCGTTGACAGAGGAGCTATCTTTGTTCTTGTTGTTATGCTCCATCATCTTTTCCATGAAGCTGATATAGTCATACTTGGGAAGGTCTCGATCTTCTAGAAGATCTGGGCCTTGATGTAACGGCATTGTCTGAACAAGGTGCTCAATGACTTCATCCGGGATGAGCGAGTGGCGGAGGTCGAGCTCTGTGACATAGGGCTGCAAATTGATCAGTTAGCCAGCATCCTCAGCAACTGCAGCGAAACCCCTCAGGTTGTGGAGGTACATACCTTGCCGTCCGCAACTTCGCGGAAGCTTTGAAAGACCTGCTCTGCAGTATGCTGATCTTCCGTCACGCTGACCATGAAGTGGATGAACTGCTCAAAGCTGACGCCAGCATTCTGCGCTAGCCTGGCCGGCCCGCAAGTTTCGACGTAGACCTGATGCATTTCTTCCTCGTCGTATACAAGTCCAAGACTAGCGAGAGCCGCAGAGAACTCGAGCTCGTGAAGTGTATTCGATGAATCACGGTCAAAGTGTCTAAAGACAGATTCGAACTCTTCCAATTGGATCGGAGTCAGGTTGGTCATATTGCGGGCAACTAGTTGGTTCTCGAGGAACGCGAGCTTCTTGGAGATACTTGATTTGACTAAGCTCAGCTCGTAGGAAAGTTCATCTAAGGTATATGTTGTGAAGTCGTTCTCCTCAATATTCGCTTCGACGCACTGTTCGTCAAGTTCCGCAATGGTTTCTAAGAAAGCGTCGAGTGGAGGAAGATTGTCATTGAGTCTCTTGACGTGCTCTAATTGGTCCTCTACATCGCCGTCAAGACCAGAAATGGCAAGTGACAAGGTCTTCAGTGTGAGTGCAAAGTCATTGGCCTTGTCCGCGAAGGATCGGCGTAGAGCGTTCTTGATGTCCCGAATAGTCTCGTTGATGAGCTGGCTCCGCTCGTGCTCATCGCGAGTCAATAGCTCCCATTCCTGGTCACAGACTTCGAGGCGTAGCTCTTCTGGCGGATCGTACGGACGAAGCCGGTAGGTGCTGAGTTTGGTCTTAATATTACCTAGGAGAGCAGCAAGGTCTGATTTCTCGGCGACCCATCGTCGTTTTTCGTTTCTCTTGTATAAGGAGAACTGCCGAGCTTGTTCTTTAGCGTCTTTGTAAGTTCCCTCGAACGATGCATTCTTCCATGCTTCGCGCTGAGCTCTAATTAGACGCAAGAGTTCTTTCATCCTCCGTTCGTATGAGTTCTGCATCTCCCAGGCACCATGCATGTTGTTGATGAATTTCTCAACTCGCCGACCCGCATTTTCCACCCTTTCCAGTTGAGAGAACGCATGGAACCAATAGGCGATATAAGTCATCAGCGACCGTTCGTCAGGTTTTGCAACGTCGCAGACGTCATCCACATCCAGCAAATCAGGTATGCCAATCTCATTCGTCGCAATATCGAACGCTAGCTTCATGTTCCCGCGATGATCATTCTTGTCCAGGGCGTCGAAATCGATCAGGTCCGGTCGATGGATATCGAGGAGAGCACAGAAAGCAAGACCATCATTCCAGCTGGTAGAGAAGTCGCGGACTTCTACCCCCTCGTAGCAGGCGGTCTTTCTCTGGCACCACAGCAGAAGACCCTCCTTAGCAGTCATGCCCTCCGCGTTGATGTCGCTGATAGTGAATCTCAAGATGAGCGTCCATATCAAACCCAGAATAATCTTCCGATTGCCATCGACGATATCCTCCGCTCCGATATTCGTCATCTGGATCCGCCTCCCTCTGATGAAGTCAAGACTCTTGTTGACATTTTCGAATTTTTGCACGCGAAGCTTGGGCTTGGAAGCATAACGGCCGAGGGATTCTGCGCCGAGGATTTCGAGCAGGTGGATGAGGATAACCTAGGAGAGTTGGCCGATCAATGTCTAGATTCTCAAAGAAATCGGCTATGGGGAGGTAGGGGGAGACTCACGCCATCGGAAAGGTCGGTCACAAGGTCGTCTATCAAGATGCCTCGAACCTTGATCTTGTCATTAAGCCTACCGGGGCAGGAGTTTGTCAGCCAGGGTAGGTTTGACGCCCAAATCAAGAGTGGGAAAGTGGACAGATCGCGATCAAGAAGAAACTATCCAGCGAACGAGGGGCACCACCGTCTCAATCAAACAAAAACAAAGGAACAATGAGGGGGTATTGGAGCATATACCAACCATTTAGTAAAAGTTTTCTGCTGTACATTAACCCAGGACTTTTCAACCGTCAACATGATGAGTGATGGAAAGAATCGAGTACATCCAGGGCCGTCGGTTCTATGTGAGTTTCTTTTTTCCTTTGTCCTTCCTTGAGCCTGTTAGTGACAAGAACAGACGATAATAAATCAAAAATAGATTGGGGAAGTACCTAAAGGTACCTAACCTGCAAGAGGGATACCCGCTCCCCGATAAACTAGCCCGGGATGGAAAGGGCAAGATCTTCACGACAGACTGATTTGAGGGTGGCTGGATTCGGTATCAGATGGAGATCAGAACAGTCTAGATGGGAGCTTTGACTGTGATATGTGAATATGAGACACAATTGGACAGTCAGTGGTAGAGTAGACACCACTTTTAATTCTCAAGACTCTAGTGGCTGTACTTCTCACCTGCTGCAAGACGGAGGATTATCTACTCCGTATCATACTTGGCTGTCAACAAACCATCCCCTCGGCCCCCACAGCAACCACCATGGTTGAAGACTTCGGCTGCTACCCGGTCGTCCACTCTTCGAGATTTTCAGGGGTTCTACCTATGAGAAGTTTGGTATGCAATTATGCCTCATTCTCTTGAACATTCCACTTGCATCATCTGAATTCGGTTACGATGAGAAAAAATTATTCTATCAACGGCATCAAGAAGGTTGATCATAGTCCTGCCTTGTGTGGTAGGCAGCATTCTGGTTTTCACATATCCACTCGGTACTAATCGGCCCTAACGAGACCTCATCTAAGTACTATCTGAATAGAATGGAGACAGGGCATCTGGAGCCTTGTAGCAAGCAAGCTCGAAGAGTGGACGACAGGTACCCAGGACTAAAGGAAGACTACCCGAGACCATTCTAGGAGCTCGGTGTTTGTGAACGTGATGTCGCTTTCAAGTGGAGGGTTAGGGGGGCGGCCAAACACGAGCTCGAACTCTAGTGTGAGAGGACGAGATGTGGCATTCCTTCCGTCAACTTGTATATTTGCTGGGTTGACTTGTTGATTGATGGTAACTGTTGTAAGTTTTCGGGGTCTCCACGGGCCTCCTTGGGGGTTCGATCGAGTCGTCGGGCCGCGGGTCCGATCGTATTTTTCCATAGTGATCATCTTTCGCTGCACGTCGATCTTGATGAGCAGAACAAGCCTGACAGCACCATTCGAGTTCACGAACCACCAGGCTGCGTCCGCCCACAACCTGGGCATCGACTCAGATACACCAGCTTCGATGACCATATATGGCCACCCTCTGGGTCTGAGTAACGTATTGGTCCACGAGGAATCGCATTCCTTACTGGAACTCGTAGGTCCAGTGTATTTTGTAGCCCCTAGAGCCACGAACTCAACAAATGGAATATTCATGCGATCAACTTTTCTGGTGATGAACTGGCCGATGTTTGTGTGAGCAATTTCGTGCTCGCGAGTCGGGACTTTAATGATCAGGTTTTGAATATCAGGGAAATACGTCAGGCGGACGACACTCCCGAGTTCCTGGCGGTTTGCTTCGATGCGTTCAAAATCTCTCCTCGCCACATGTTTTAGTGAGATGTATTGATATTGGTGATGCTCCCCTCGTCTTAAACTTGTAGCTTTTGCTGTTACCGCGTCTTTCAACGCTTGAAAACTAGTGAAGTCTGTGGGAGGATAAAGACTTGTAAGGGCCAATTCGGATGACGACAACATTCCATCTTGGGTTGTGTTAACTGTTGTCGTGGTCCAGCAATCTCCATCTGCACTGTAGAGAGCAGAAATTCTGTAGACTTCGCAACACGTAAGCAAACAGTGACGTCAGTTTTCCAAATATCATAGAACTCACCTATGAATGAGATGGAGCCAGCACAAATTGAGTATCTCAATATTGATCAATGAGGTAACGGGGGAAACGAATTCGGAAACTGAAGAAACGATGGAGAGAGTCAGAGAGGGTAGTAGAGAAGCGGAGATGGCAATGGATGAGTGAGAAGGAGAAAAGAAGGAAAGGAATCAGGGAACCTCGAGAGACGATGGGCAGAGTCAGGAGAGGGTAGTAGAGGAGAGAAGATGGCAATGGATGAGTGGAAAGAACCAGTGAACCTTGAGAGACGATGGGCAGTCAGGAGAGGGTAGTAGAGGAGAGGAGATGGCAATGGATGAGTGAAAAGGAGAAAAGAAGGAAAGGAAGTAGAAAGAACACAAAGATGCTATATATATTCCTCATAGACCAGTTTGATTCACAGTTCCTGAATACTGCTATTTTAAATACCCTCTTCTATCAGGATAGTTTCTGTGAATAGTGACAATAGTCACAGTATATTCACAGACGCAACACTGTATAATCAACAGAGGAATATCATAGTTTACAATAGAATATGCGAAAGAAGACTATCTTAGTAATTAACTACCTCAGAACAATGCTTTATTATCTAGTCTGTCACAATGATATAGAATGAATCACTATATTCCTTCATACAAATATGACTTAAAAAGTATGGTGTCTACTATATTATTCACTGTTTAACACCTAGTTAAATCACTGCATACAACCATGCTAAAGATTAGGAGGTAACTGGCTGGGATCTAAGGAGAGTACTATTCGGAGATGCAAAAATAGAGTGATTCTGTTTCATATCGCAAGGTGAAGTGTTCCTTAAGACAGGAGAACGATGAGGATACAGTCAGTCAGGAGAAATAATGCATATCTGCAAGCAAAAGTGCCTAGTCCAATCGGCAGTAATAAACAATAAAGTAATTGCCTGAGAAGCCCAGAGAATGATATCATTTGCACCAAGACCAACGGCGGGGCAAGTTGGAGGGGCTGGACACCAACCAGAAGCCCCTACCAAATCTTCTTCTCCCCGCTCCATGTCCATGTCATCGAGAGTTCGAGACATTCTTCTCGCCGACTTACAAGCTTCAGAACCTGAATATATTCGAGCGCATTTCCTCGGTCACCATTACCAATTGACTCCCATCAATACACAAACAAAATGTCTTCGAAACTCGCCATCACAGACTTACTGTCTCTTCCCAATTCCGACGTCAAGATCCCCCGCCTTGGGTTTGGTGTCTACCGCTCTCCCACCGGCCAATGTGTCCAGTCATCACTGAAGGCCCTTGAAGCGGGATACCAACACATTGATACCGCCCAGTTTTATGGCAATGAGAAGGAGGTGGGGGAAGCTCTTCGCAAGTGCGGCATCCCCCGCAGCGACATCTTCGTGACTACGAAAATTCTGAGCCCAGCCGGGTCCTCCGAAGCTACGTACCAGAAGCTACTAGACAGCGTCGAGAAGATTGACGGTCAGGATGGATACGTGGATTTGTTCCTCATTCATAGCTCAAGCTCCGGTTCAGCCGGCCGGAAAGAGCTCTGGCAGGCCTTGGAGAGGCTTTTGGAGGAAGGCAAGACGAAGAGCATTGGTGTGAGCAACTTTGGGGTGAAGCACATCGAGGAGATGAAGGCATATGCAAAGGTCTGGCCGCCGCACGTAAACCAGATTGAGGTAAGCTCTACGGCCGAGTAGCTCTTTCAAGTAGATTCGTTTATGGCCAGTACCTAAGGTATACTGACATTATGCGCTCTTTAGCTTCATCCCTGGTGCCAACAGCGAGTCATTGATGCATATTGCAAGAGGAACGGCGTTGTCGTTGAAGCCTATTCCCCGCTCGTGCGAAACTATAAAGCCAATGACCCAACGCTAGTCGGCGTGGCCAAGAAGTACGAAAGGACGACGGCACAGATTTTGATACGCTACGCGCTGCAGAAAGGATGGGTTCCGTTGCCCAAGAGTGACACCCCCGAGCGGATTGTGGCTAATGCCAACGTGTTCGATTTTGAGATTGGTGAGGAGGATATGGCGCTACTGAATGCCCTCGATCAAGGAAGCGCTGGAGCTATCGTGGAGGCCGTTGAAAATGAGTAAATAGAATTATCCTGTATGATATGTAGCGTTCCGCGCGCCGATGTTAATGATAAGATGCAATCTATTAGTCTTAATAATCCGGTCGTTCCATCAGAAATGCATTGACCGATTGAAGTGTAGGGCGCGACGGGTTCACATCATGTTTTGATGACACGATCCAGGCAAGACGTTGTCGTATGAATTGCTTGTCTATTGATCGCCTCGCCGGGGATGTTGTGAATGATCCTGGGAACCATTAGAAAAATTAGAGGACGAGAAAGTGAGGTAGGGGAAAAAGATAGGGAAAGCAAGTGAGTGCATGGAAGGATGGCATACCATTGTCATTGTAGAATAGACATATGATAGCAAGGAGAGCACCAGCGGAGAGATCTTTACCAGATTCACACGTAACCAGTAGTGATCGTGAGGGATCGGAGGCGAGCTGGGAACTGACAAAAGCTCGAACCTTATCGAGCTCTTGTCTCAAGTCGCGGCTTCCCAGTTTTGACGACCTACATCCAAGGTTGAGCCGCTTTGGGTCGCCTTCTGATGCCTCGGGTCTGCCATTGCAATCAATTACGAGGTCATAGAGACCACTGTCGTTAATACTGGCGTTCGTTTGAGCGATATAAAGATTCCGAGTAGGCGCAACCAATGTGGCTTGTTCAGCAGTATCTTGACCTCGATGCTCTTTCACTAGTTCTTCGACCAGTTCGGGCAGATCCTCCTCGGGCGTCTTCAGGAGAGTCGCTTTGTGGGCCCAGAAGACTGGCGGAGTCAAACCCTGGGCCCAGCCCTCGCTGTCATCACCTGCGCCTTGAATGTAGCCACCCTCTGAAATTTCTGCTCCGTGAACTCGTTTGGACGCAGAACAGAGAACGAAAAGGTTATAGTCGGGTCCTTTGTGCAGATCGGTAGGATAAAAATAAGACCGATTGGCCCATGCCACCTGAATGGGCTTTCCAAGTTGCTGCCTGAGATCATCCAGATCAAGTTTGAGATCCTGAATCTTCAGTCAGTCTAAAGCTGCTGGGCTAAAAAGAGTATAGTGATGGTAGACTGGAAAGAATACCTTGAGCGATTTTACGAAACCATCAATCCGGCGTTCAATCTGCGATTCCTCCGAGGCGCCTAGATAATTCGGCGGAAGCCGTACTGCATGATATGCAGCATCGGATGGGAAAAGTGCTCGATTCATGACAGCGCACCATATTGGAACCGTCTTAGACAAGGCATCGGGCATCACTGCGCCTCGTAAGACCAGGCTGCGGACTGAACATAAAATTCAAAAGCAAACTTACATTTACCCCGACGCGTGGAATCGACAATAATACATCTGCAGTGATCATTGGCAGTTTAGTCAACACCAGCCCAAGCTTCAGCGGGAGGCGATAACAATGATAGTCAATGCTCACTCACCCTCCATGTTGCCGAGCAAGTGGTAATATTTGTAGATTCAGTCTACGAAAACTAAAATCCCACTGACCGGTATGGCCGTCCGTGCTCTTGAAATAGGCACTACCAGCTTTGATATCCGGCGAAATGTACCAACTCCCGCATCTTTCGTTGGCGACTAGAGGCAAGCCGTAGTGCTCGGCAACCTCTGCAACGAAGTCAGCATCGGACTCAATTGAACGAAGGCGGTTGGAAATAGACAGCGCTGATCGTCGCAGCGACGACAAAGTCTGAGAAATGGATTGCGCTGCGGAGGGGAAATGAAGCGATGAAACGGACACAGGAAATTGGTCGGAATGACCCCCCGTGTTTTCTGGCATTGCCTCTTTTTCCTGTGAAACGAAATGCAGACTGAAACCAAAAGGGGCGTAGTTTAGTTAATGACAATAAGCACCAATAATGAGGTTCCCAGGATAATACTTCAGAATAATAATATAGGAACAAGAAAAAATAAGATACATACCGCATACACATTATCCCACATCAAAGTGTGGGTTAGCAGAGGACGGGCCTAACCTGATTGATTGGATGGTTAAGTTCACTGTGCAAGCATGAGCCAATTAGCATCGAAGGAATTTTTGCCGGGTTAAGAGGCTAATTCTTTTTGCCCTACTGCTTGAGTGGCTTGTTCTTCTATATAAACCTACGCCAGAACAATACCTTAATACCTGGGTAGGTATTGATGTATCTTGGGTACATTAGGCTTACCTACAGTTGTGTAGCTAAGGGGCCCAAGTACCTATGTGGTGAACAAGACCGTGTGCTATCCGCCCAACCCGTTGAATGATCAAGTCGGAGGAGACTGCGGGGCATGCAAGTTACAATCACAGGCATGGGAAGGCCCAAGCTAGTTCAACATGGCCAGACCAAACGCAGTAAAGCGCAACAGAAGGCCAACATATTCAGCTTATTCGTGGACGAGCTTTCCATGAGTGTGACAACCGGCCATACTCTTGTCTTCCTGTCCTAGTGCCAGCGTTTGGGTCTTTGATCCTGGGATATCTTGACCGATTTGAGTCTTTCGCATGAATCATATATATTGTGTTGAGGCACCCCAGTCATGCGTCTGCAGATAGAAGCACCCTTAAGACGTATAATAAATTACAAACTTTGTCTTCCCCATCCCTCTTCCCATTGAGTTCATCCTATAGATGAATATTTTTGCTTGTATGGAGTGGTACAATCTTGAAAATCAGATTCCAAGATTCAGAGAACTACAAGAAAGCCATCGAAGAGGACGAAAGAAAAAGACAGGGAAACAATGGGTTGGGAAGACCCACTATGGTAAGCCTGGTAAGCCTGGTAAGCCTGGTAAGCCTGGTAAGCCACAAAAGTCTGAATAGCCTC